TTCGCATGCTTACAAGTAATCAAATTATATACTAGATTATATACAATATTCTGTTATAACATTTTCTTGATAAGTTGTTATTTATTATTGTACATATTATATGAACAGGATATTTGCCTTGATGTTTAAATAACTATTGTGTATACTTTTAAATAACCCTGAAAAAAGTTTAAAATTGTGTTATTTATTATGTATTCGAATAAAAATTAATGCAATTGAGAAACATCATTCTATAGATCGTTTCAGACTGTTTGAAAATAAATTAGGTATACAGTGAAATATAGTTAAGAGGTATTTTTAATTATGTAACGACTAACAGTTCTCATTTGAAACAGATTGAAATATATAATTTTGCAGCTATACAGACTATTTAATTGTTACATTGCGAACATTAAGTTTAACTCGCAACTGCAACTCTGATTCGTCAAAATCGCAAACCAATTAATTTTAATCTGTTGCAATTAAGTTGTTACATAAAAGTGGATAAGAAACCTGTAGCAGTCTCTTATCATATCATTTGAATGATATAATGAGTTTTTAACACTTCGGTATTGAAATTATTACTGGTATTGAATTTTTGACTTTGTAATTGAGACTGGACTGTAATACCCTTTGAACAGAAATAAATACAGTAAACATAATAACAATATGCATTAAACAACGAACTTTAAAGAAAAGGAGTAGCTTATTCGAATCTATTTTTTATTAACGATGCCACAGATTTTTGGCACAGGGCCACACAAGAAGCACTAACTATTTAATAGCTGGTGCCATACATGATACATATTTAGTATTTTTCATAATTGAACCATGTTTAAACAAGACAATTTTCGCTTCAAAGAAATTGTAGGTTATGTAAACTACCGAATCAAAAAAATCCTAATTGCATTGAGATGTCAGTGCCCTGTACAGGTTTCAGTGTAACATTTTAAATAGCACATAATAAATATTCCTTCCAGCAGTGACTGTTAGAATGAATATTTTATACTACAATAAAATGATATGACCTAGATAGATGGAGGAATTGATATGATTTCGAAGGCATGAACCTTCAAAAACTCAAGATTTCAAATGGATTTATTATTATTAAAAAAATGCTAAAGCATATAATTTGTACGTGCCAAAGAAATACTTCTCTCTTTTTATTTGTCCTATGTATTTGAGTCTACTTTGTCTAATGTACTTACATCTATGCGGTTGTGTTTATCACCCCACTCCATTAAATATATGACAACCGATTGGCACGAAATGAGAAAATATATTGACGCATTCCAAATTCAAATGTAATATTTTATTTATTTTTATTATAACAGTATTTATGGCCAGACTATTTATAAATGACTTACTGGAAAGACAAAACAATGAGAAACGTAGTGAGATAGAAATAAAAAACCCAAACGAACCAAGAAATCTAACGATGGACCAGAGATATTGATGATGAATATATAAAATGTCCAGAAAAGCTTACAAAATAGGGGTCCCGTTTGCCCCCCTTCCATTACATATTTTTTTAATAGTAAACAATGTTTTATATACTTGCAGCAAAAATATTTTCATTGAAATATTTACTTCATATTGGTTTATATTTTGTTCCTTCTTTTTTCTGCTCTGTGCTTGTATTTCTCAATTTTTTATTTAAAGGAATGTAGGCGTATACTGTAGGTCGTGTAGGTATAGGGATATAATAAACTTTACATTGTCATTGGTTTAGGAGATAAGGTTTTTATAAATATATGATAACTATACGTAATGTATGACAAACGATAAAATTCACCAGGAATCTTGTGTAAAATACAAGTGAAACTGATAATTGACGATTATATAAATATTTTGGTAGGTACTGTTTAATGTTATTACACATATTTGACCTTGGTGTTATAATTTGTTTTATAAATAAATACATATATTGCAAAATAATGTGGAATAAAATTTTTTATTATAGATAGAGATACATTTCTTTCGGTTTAATTTTAATTTTTATAAATTAGGTATTTAAATTTTAGTCACACTTAAAGTGTCAGGAATATTTGAAATACCTAGAATACAAAATTAAAGATCTTGATCAATGTTAAACAAGGAAATAGGTAGTTGCCAATAAAGAAAAAAGGTTAATGTAACATAAAAATAATTATTTAAATGATAAAACTTCAAAGTGTGCACAGAATCGCAACCAACTTTATGCGCAACTATGAATAAGTTAGTTCTAAAACTGATACTGAGAGATAATTAGGAGCTTTACAGATAATACAAACTACCAAAATGGTTTGTTGATAAACATGCTCAGCGTGTAATTCAGTATTCAGTACCTACATGTAAAATTTTATAGTTTCAGCAGTTTAAATTCATATAATAACTCACCAACCCAACAAAGTTGTATACTTAGGTACAAATATTTAATAAAACAATTAAATAAAAATAATAAACAATACAATTATTTTATATTAATTTCTATACACAATGTCTAGGCTTTGTGCCTTATAATTACAGTGCTTTATTGGATACTAAAATATATATAGCAAGCCGCTTTGCAGCTAATAAATAAGATAGATAGGTCTGTCACGCATACATCTTTGTACAAATTCTACGTAAAACATTCAAAATGCATATCATTTAGCAACAGATAGATTAATTATTCCTAGAAAGAATATCTTTCCGTCAACCTTGAGAGAGTTTATTGACATAATGATTCGTAGTATCTTATTTGTTTCATGTATGTATGCAGACACACTTTATTGCTCTTTTCAATGGTATATATTAAAAATAAACACATTGCACCATTGTTAATTAATAGCATTTTTGGCACACTAGTAAATAGTGACTTACTGGTAATAATGAATTACTACAGTACGTTTATGTTTCAAAATTTTTCGTCTTCCTAATCAAATGCGAAATCTTGATAACAATGCCACTTATACATTTTATTAACTTATACTATGTAATATTATGTTATCTGTGCTTATACCATTATGCCTTTTAATGTATATAATTAACATCTGATTTACATTTAGGTACTATTTGTAGTTTTCACTAGTAGGTACACATGTTATAATGTTATTTAATACTGTTTACTTACCTACATATTTTATTTACTTATTCATGTTCCTTATTTAGTAATTTCGGATGCGAGTACCATTTTAGTCCCGTGGTAATATATATTGAAGAAAAGATGATCAAATTCCTTTGGTTTAGTTTTGGCGAAGACATCAGGGATTAGTCATAAGGACTTGCAAATAAATCGTATACTTTATTAATGGGTTGCCTAGATGAATTAATCTGCTTTAATTTACATGTATTACACCTCAACTCAATTAGTATTACAAGTAAAAAAAAATGCAACATAAAGGCGTTTTAATTTTGTTATATCAAGAACAAGCAGCTAATAATATAATTCATATTTTAGGACAAGGGTACTAAAGAGTTTATGTGTTCCACACCGAACGTAGGTATACGTAATGCATATAAGTTCCCGGTGTATATAGGCTACATTCACCGCTTGTTTCTCATTTTGTTTACATAAAAGAAACAATCGAATTTACGAGCAGAGGTTTGAATTCACATTATGACCATACCAGCAGGCACGAGAAGGCTTTTAGCAGCCACATACTGTAGAGTTTTTTTTTAAACTATAGAGGCCAGCTACGGTCATGGCCAAGCATTCAAATAGTTCTAAAACAGAAAATAATTTTATTAACTATTAAATAGTTTAGGTATCTATATAGAGAAGGAATGCAAATAGCCAATATTTGCTTTTATTTATATGCAAAAAAATACATTAAATCAATAAATAAAACATTATAAATACTACCAAGTTTTTGATACACACAAATAGAATACTTTAACAATAGAAAGTTAATAATGTTTAAAGTTATAATTTCAAATAATAAAAGAATTTCGACCATTAGGCGACCACTAGTAGAGGGAAGTCCCCTAGTGGCGGCCACCTAAGGTTTTTTATAAATAAAACAAAAAATATTTTAAGGAATGTTTATTTATTTATGACTAATAGTACATAACAAAGTTAGAAATCAAAAAAATAAAAGAAAACTCAACCTCTGCTTAAAAATAATTAACACTATCAATCAAACTTGGTTAATAAAAAATGATATTTATAAAAGTGGCACTTAGTACCGGACATTTCAAAATAGCCTGCATCGATCGCATATGTAGCCATCTACACACTCTGGAACGTCTGTACATGCTTCATGTACCTTCCCACGACAGGATGAGCACTGGATCCAGTCTTCGTCAGTGTCTTTTAAACAAATTACGCAATTGCTGTGTTTTTGTGTTAGATGTTTCAGTTAATAGTTCTACTTTATTTCCATTTTTTCCTTTAGACTTCACGTTTTTGCTTGTTTTTCCTTGTCTACGCTCTTTCCTTTGGTTTGCTTTCCTTTTTCATGAGCTGCATACATCTGTTAGATAAATCTTTAACGTGGTCCACCAAGACTGGTTCATACTCTGCTGAGAAGGTGGTAGTGAACCTACCCAACTTTTGTTTCATCGTTTCTCCTCGATTTAACGCCTTTAATTTATCATTTAGGCACTCTACATAATATAATAAAGGCGTTAAATTTTAGGAATATTGTATCCCATTGCATCTTGTTTTACACTCTGTTCTTTGCCTGTCTGTTTCTGGCCTTGTGCATCACTGGAGAGCCGCGGCACGTGATGCTGTAGCTGTTTGCCCCCCGCGCCCCTTTCACTTATACTTTGAATCGAACAGGGTTATACTTTCTTAAATAGTAGGAGTGTCCGGCGCTAGGTGCCGTCCGTCGTTACGGCAGATCAGATACTTATTAAAACGTGTTATGGTGTTTTTTAAATTATACTTAGATGGCTGGACAGATTTGAATGGAAATTAGAATATAGATAGGCTATAATAATACTAATAGAAAAACAAATGATAAATATTTAATTGTTGGTGGAGCAAATATTAAAAATAACCAATATCACATTGGTGGTCTAATCTTAGAACTAATTTATTAGTTTTTTTACAGAGTATCAACCATGCCTACGTATCGTTGAGCAGCCCCAAGATCACTTCAGGTTCCGATATAAAAGTGAAATGGTTGGAACTCACGGGTGTCTACTCGGTAAATCGTATGTGGCTAACAAATCGAAAACTCATCCCACAATAGAGGTAACACGTTCTCATTTATTTATTAGTCTATTAAATCATAGACATTATATTTATTTATTTCATTCGGATAACCATCCATATTATGTCAGTAAACAAGTTATAAACTATGTTAGTAAATTACAATTTATATCCATTCAATTCATGTATCTAAGTCTATGTACATGTTCAAAAGCACTGGGTCCGCAGTGTTTCAATGATATCCAGTGCCTCTGGAGCCTACAATCCGACATATATGCTATGGTGTTTAGGAGGCTGTTTGCGCTTCTCCGAATTCTACACATCAGTGATGCAGTTCTATTCTGCATTATGGCTTCAAAGTCATGCTGCTGCAAACATCTCTGAAGCACTACAAAACCGAGGGAGCCCAAACAACATCCTAAACCCATTATTATATTGTATGCAAAGAGCGTTGTATGCCCTCTACTGTAACATCCTAACCCTAACCCTACATAACCTACACTGAGTGACGACAGACAGTCGTAACACAGACCTAACTATCCCTATCTCAACACTTAAGTAAATATGGCGTTGTGATGGCCTAGTGATCGTCTGGGACTCTACGTTGTTACAATTAATACTAAGAAATTACCTAATGCAATAATATGAAGCCTACCTGAATATTACCTAGAGAATAGTATCAGGTTTTAATATTAAATGACTTTACCACCCGTTCGGAACCCTATCTACGACCAAAAAGATACGAGCAAGAAACTTGGATTTTGCTCTTTGTTATAATAATATTTCTGTTACAATGTTTACATGGTAATGATTGAAAATTATAATTATATGTAACTTATTAATATTAGAACTATCAGGGGTCTAGCCGTAAGCAGGATGCGGGCGGATGCCACATTCGTCGCGTGGACTCGTCGTGTTATACTCGTACTTTGACACCGACTCGTAGCCGCAACTTGTCGTTTCACTCGTAGTATGAAAATTTGGATAAAGAAAGCAGATAAATATCTTAGTCGCATTATTGAAGACTAACCCAGTTGAAACTATAGTTGTAAATACATTCTATCAGAATGGACGCATACGGTAGTGATACAGTTAAATTAAACCCTTAAAATAGGTTCGCGCAAGGGACTCCCATCTGCTATTTCCTGACCACAAGAAGAGAAAGAGAGCCCTCAAGACCCGACATAAGTATTGATGACAATGAACGAATCAAGTCATTGCAGATGTAAATCGAGTGTCAAAAGTGAATATAACCATGGAGAACATCCGAAAATATATTAAACCTAGTTAACAGGCTTTCTGGCCATCCACAGTACAGTAGGACTATGACCGCGTACCTTAAGGCCCGGTCGGCGCTTCGTTCATACCGCACCATGCTGGTCAGAGAATTTGCTATTCCCACATCAAATTTGAGTAAATACTTTAGGTCCATACATCTTGTTAACCTAATTTACAGGCTTCCTGGCCATCCACAGTTTAGTACGGCTGTGACCATGTACCCTAGAGCCCTTTCGGCGCTGACATACCGCCCCATGCTGGTCAGGGAACTTGCCATTCTCACCGCAAAGTCAAATTCGAGTAATTACTTTAGGTCCATAGAAATCTTGTTATTGTAGTAATGTTGATTTATGATTATACAAAAGAAATAAAGAGATTACATTTATATATTCACCTGATACTATATTCACAATACAAAATATTTCATTATTTATGCTCGATTCATTATGAGTTTAACAAAAATACGCGATCTAGTATTTAAATAATTATATAGTTTAACTACAATTCGTTTTGTAACATGTATCACATTCATATGATTGTATTATTCCTTGTCAAAAACCCAATTAGTTAAAAATTCAAATTAATAGTCCCAGAAAGGATATATCCACAACTCGTTCAATAAAGAGATAGTCAGTGTTACCCCTTAACAATAAATATTATTAAGTCAATGTTATCCCTTAACAATTAATATTATTACTCCGGTGATAGTCTTCAATATGCTCAGTCAATATGTTCATATTAAGGAAAGGTTCCTTTAAATATTCCATTTTAATATATTTTCTCCTTGTGAAAAATATACTATTTACTTATTCATTATTTGCAATCTCCACCTTGTGGAAATGTACAAACATCCATCACAATAATTAAAGCAACCACTGTCTTTCTGTTCAACATTATACTTATAATTGCATGGTTTTACCTTGTAAAACAGACAAACATACAATACGACTTTTGGGAATTGCTGTGTTTCGGTTTGATAATATATTTTATTTGTAACTTCCACCCTGTGGAAGTGTACAAACATGCATTCGAGAAAAGAAAGGAATGCTCCCATAATGCTCCCGTTATCCTTCAAAACTATTAAAGTAATCACACAAAATTCTTAGGAGGTCAGAGAAGATTTCCCTTAATATAAATGAATGATTATATTATAAATATTTATCAATTATTAAGCTGTACTTAATAATTAAATATTAATCATATAGACAGGAGCAATACATTTAGTAAGTCAAGAACAAAATCTATTAAATTATATTTAGTATACACTATTAAATATAATTTAATAGCTGTGTTATATCAAAATAAATAAAATATCATCATCATTTCAGTCGCTCCTCCTTAAATATCGGTTCAATAGTTTGTTGATTACACTCAGCATATTATAAAAATTAATACTTTATTTAGTACTTAAAATCCATTCACAGTTACAGCAACCGTTAATAAAAGTTGAAACATGATTTATTAAGCTTGTTTGTCTTTGTCACCTATATACATGAATGAAACCCAATCCTACGTATCACAGATATTATCATATTTATAATACAATTGTTAACATCACCGCTCTCTCCTCCAAAGTGTAGGTACCCAAATTATCTATCATATTACTAAAATAATATTACAACATAATTTTAAAAATAATTAAAGTGTTATACGACCTGTCATGTGGTAGCATAGCATAGTATTCTATATCACCAATAACATTTTGCCGTCGACGTCTCTTGTTCGGCCACCGTCCCGGATTCTTTATTCGTTGCCGTCTCTCAAGGAACGCGGAAATTAACCTTTAATTCAGACCGACTAGCCCACTCTTCGTTCTAGCAGTAACCGCGCTTTATTTCAGATCGACTACCCCGCTATCCGTTCCAACTGCCCTTTTGAGACCGACTAGCCAGCTATCCGTTTTAAAACCAACTGTCCCGATTTCTCCGTGTCTCAATCCCACCATGACACGCATTGCCTCCCCGCGCCCTTTGTCCTACTTAATTATACTATTATTTTTGCTAACGACCCTTAAAGCAAATCTTAAACAAACCACTATCCCATATCGTGCCCTGTCTAATAAACTTATTAATTTATTGTTTTAACTTGAACCTTCTCAGCTTGAGTTCTACCTAAGTGACGCCACGTCTAATAAAGTATACTAATTTATTTTTATTTATTTTTTTATTTAAATAACTTTAATGCACGTCATACACAGGTAAAAAGTACATATGGCGGACTTAACACCTAATGGCATTTATGTTACCCAAATAGACAATACTTAGAAAACAAGGATCCTACAACATCTAAAAGTGGCATTTGAACGAAATACGTAATATTATAGACACGTTTGAAAGTTGCAGCCGTTTTTATGAAGTAATTATTTAAGTATCCGTTCCACGAACAAATCTTAGTTCTACATAATACGCACTTACTATGTACTTATAACATCACGTCACTTTTATCTATTAGGTATTAGATTTATTATTTTAATTTTTATTGAACAATCTACATCGTTCGTTACACTACGTACCTATACCTAAACCACAGGCTGCACGTGTAAAACGACTGATAACCCGCTTTAAATAACGTTGTCTTCACATCACTATTACACCGTTCAAACCTACGGGCAGTATATTACATTGGACCTACAACGCTCTTTGCTCCTCTCTATATCATATTATTAGATATGTTAATCAATAATATTAAATATGTTTTTTGTTTTAGCTGCTAAATTATTCGGGACGGGCAATTATAAGATGTCGATTGGCTCAGCACAACAATGAAAAGGAGCATCCTCATAAGCTTCTCGAAGATGAACAAGACAGAGACGTAAGCTACGAAGTGCCTGAACATGGAAGCTACAAAGTTGGGTGAGGTTTATTTATTTTCAATAAGGGTAAAAGTCACTCATACAGTCATACCCCTACTTTAATTAATTAATTTCAATATTACACCATAACAGTCTATCCAAATCGGTGTTGGAACTTAGTAGATTATACATATAAATATGTAACATTAAAGTTATTTTTAATGGCTTCTCTGATTTTCGGCAGTCGACAATAAAAAATATCACTATGATTTTTGATATTGCTCATTATCCCTAAAGCGCGCGTTAAATATAAATATTTTAGTAAATTGGTCAAGGCTGTAATAACACCAAATTTGATCTAACTAATGAGATCGTCAGTTTGTTTGCCATTCTAGTCAATAAAGAAATATTTTTTTGCAGCTTTGCTGGTATGGGAATAATCCACACAGCAAAAAAGGATGTCCCAGGATTGTTATACAATAAGTATGCACAGCAAAATAGTAGAATGAATTCTAGGGAGGTAAGTTCTATTTTATTTTCATTTATTGTGTCAGCATTACGGCATCGTAGTTAAAAAATCGACACCTACGATTTACATTTATACGAATATAAAAAAAATAATTAAAATAATATCTATTCAAACATTTGAAACATATCCTTTTCATGGAGTAGAATTTTTATTGTTTAGAAGTTATATGTAAATAATTAGTTTTGCAAGCATTTTATAGCTTTTTTCGGAGGTAAAGACGAATTCCGTGTGGTACATAACGCCTATTAATCGTATTTTACTATGCGGATTTGAGGCGGATAATTTCGGATAGAATAAATATCAAATTAAATGTCCTTGTGTTTACTGGGTTACATAAATAATATCTATTAGTTTTTATTTACCTTACAATATAATAAAATGGTTACCAATAAAAGACAAACTATACCTATTGAACCACATAAACGTGCTACACTTATAAGTAATTATGACTTGACCATGAAATTGAAAGATATTAACATCTTGTTGATTATTCTAATTTATTGTTGACAGCTAGTCAACAATAAATTAGAATAAGTGCTTGCGACTTCGTCCGCGTGGAAATGAACTTTATTTTTATAAAATAGGTAGCTAATGTAATGAGGAGTAACTTAGGCTAAGTTACTCCTCATTACATTAGCTACCTGCTAATAAAAGTCCCTTCAAAATGGGTCCAGCCATTTCAGAGATTAGCCGGAACAAACAGACAGACAGACAAAAATATTAATAAAATTTTATTGTATATATATATTCATACGCATGTAGTAAAAACGGTTATTTCAATATTACAAACAGACACTCCAATTATATTCATATGTAGATAAAGGGAAATATACAGAAATAAATAAATTATTATAAACGTTTTCGATTTACTTATTTCTGCGGCTAAAAATAAAAATAAAATTATACTGTTCTATTATGAGTTTAGCCATATTATGATATACGTTCGATATACGTTTCATATACGTTCCTTGCTAAATAAAAGACATCAACGACAGCACATGCTAATTGAAAAAAAAACACATGCCAACTGTCTTTAAGAAATGTTATATTAAAAAATATGTAGTTTTTATAAGTGAAAATAAAGGAAAGTACTACTAAGAAGAGAAAAGCACTGAGAAATCAAGTCCTAAGCTGTGATTTATCGTTGCACATTAGGTAAATAAAATAAATGTTTTTTTTTCTTTCGAATTTGTAATTATATAATAGTCGAAGATACCCCAATAACACACCTGTAAGTTACCACTTTTTATTATTTAGTCTGCAATTTGGAGCGCATTGCTTTGTTGCATGTATAATGCACAAGAATATAGATATGTCAACATATGAATACTGTGTTTGTGTGGGTATTCGCCATACCAATTATGCATGTACACTGTAATTTCTGAGCATGAATATCATTAATAAAACCGTATTTTATTAGAATAGAATAGAATAGAATAGAAATAATCTTTATTCAAATAAACTCATAACAAGCACTTTTGAATAGTCATATTTTGATTCTACCACTCATTCGGAATGCAGATTCATCACAAGAAGAATGAGCAAGAAACTTGTGTGTTGCTCTTTTTAATAGATGTTTTTTTTATATAAATAATTACAGTGTAACAAGTAAGAGGCATGCGATAATCAACATAGAAATCGCTACGCACTCATTATTAGTGTAATCAGATAATATTGTCAGTGCTATGTATTTAAAATTTTTCTACAAAAACATTATTATCGTTAACGAATTCTTCAATTTTATAGTAAGCTTTTTTGCAAAGGAAGTGTTTTATTTGACATTTAAATTTTTTTTCTGGCAGATTTATAACAGACTCTGGTATTTTGTTGTAAAACCTTACGCAATTGCCATAAAACGAATTACTAACTTTAGCCAAACGACATTTAGGTAAAATCAGTTTGTTATTGTTACGTAAGCTTTTATTAGAGCAATCACTAACTCTTTTGAAACTGTCTATATTCTTCCTGGCATACATGACATTTTCATAAATATATTGAGAAGCAACGGTGAGGATATTTGATTCCTTAAAGCACTCTCGCAAAGACTCCCTGGAACCCATGCTATAAATGGAGCGAATGGCCCTCTTTTGTAAAATAAATATTGTATTTGTATCAGCTGCTTTGCCCCATAACAAAATACCATACGACATAATGCTACGGAAATAGCTAAAGTACACAAGTTTAGCCGTTGCCACGTCTGTTAATTGTCTAATTCTTCTTACCGCATAAGCGGCAGAACTAAGTCGACTCGCCAATTTAGTAATATGAGCACCCCATTGCAACTTGGAATCTAATGTGATACCTAGAAATACAGTATCGTCCACAAAATTCAAAGTATAATAGAAATAAAAAATAACCTCATACAATTTACACACTGCCAATGTATACAGACTTACAAACAATATTCGAGGAATTGAGCCCGAGAGCGTTGGAAGTACGACGAAGTAACGACAAATAGCTGTGCCTAACGTTTCACTCTCATGAAATTTATAGCCTATATGTTATTCTGATGTATAAGCTGTCACTGTAAAGTATTGTAAAGTATCAACAAAATTCATTCAGTAGTTTCTGCGTGTAAGAGTAACAAACATCCATCTGTACTCACAAACTTTCTCATTTATAATATTAATAATAATAGTACGATATATAATATGAAATATGAAAATTCTGTTTAATCGTTACATCAAATCAAACATTATGTACATTATTTGCAAAATAATTAAGGTCAATGCTCAAAACGTAATCCAGTAAATATAAAAATAGATATAGGACATTACGTACCAACGCATTTCGCTTTACTAGAAATTGCAATGACGCACACTGATAAGAACTAATAATACCGGATAGCAAATATATGAAATTTATATTGGTACTGGTTATGTAATTCGAAATAAACCTCCCGTAATGATAAAGTTTATTGATATTTTTATTTTAATTATTTGAGTCATCGGCGTTAAATACGGTAATAATTCATTTACGGGACAGTGCGGTTTCAGAGGAGTTTCCTCCCGCGTACACTTGGATTGCGAAATCTGCCGAGGTTTTCTCTCGAGACTACAGCATTTTTTGTTTTAGAGGGTTTTCAAGGTGCATTAAAGTTTCTTGTCGTCAGTCCGCACGTGACACCCCTTGTTTCTACCATCGTAGTATAAAAAAAAGATTATATATTGAGTGCGAAAGTAAACTGATACAAGTACCTAGTATTGACTATTAAGTCGTCTTTAGAATAATTTGTATATAAAACAAATAAGCAATAATAATTTAATTAGAAATAAATAATTAAAGTAACAAATTACTTTATCTGTTTTTGTAAAAGCAACTTAAAAACCGTAAATGTAACCTTACTAAATGGAAAATTTACGTTGTAAGCCAATACTAATTCTCCGCGGCTTCGTCTGCATAAAATTACTTCCCCTATGTCAACCTTTCCAGATATTTTTTTCAATATAGCTAATGTCCGTATTCATGATACAATCACGTCTTTCTTTAATGTTAAGTCATGAAAGATAACAGACAGGTAGGTTTTTCCATTTATACTACTAGCTGTTTGGTGTAAAGGATGTCCGTTCCCGTGATTATCTAACTACATGTTAATTTTGATTATAGTCCAGATATAGTATAGATATTTCCATTTCCTCAGACGCCAATGGTATCCTTTCCTTACCATCGTATAAGTATTATAATTTACTCGGCATTGTCAGTATTTTTAATAAATTTATATATGAATACAAAATAATGAGGTGTTTTGTTTACAATTGCACGTTACTGCAATTCGGAAATCGTGATTCGATTCTGTAATATATTTATTATACAAATCGTCAATATGAGTGAGGTTGTTGCCGGCTTAGTATTGAAAGTTTATAATATTTAATGCATAAAAATTATGCTATCATGCCATACCGGGAGACGTTATACAGTACGTTTTTATTGCCCTCATCTACATATCTATTTTTTTTATACATGATTATGGAATGGTACATCCACCTGCGCTACCGGTTTACGCACTGCGCACCAGTGGTGGATTATAAAATGAATATGTGGTCAGGTCAGTTAGCCTATGTATCGTGACAAATTTACTAGTAAGTTATAACGTACGAAGGTTTCAAAGGGGAACTGCGTGGTGATCAATTTGACATTGTACATTGCTGGCAGTGGGGTCATCAGGTCACATTACTAACAATCCCCATTCCCACCTCTACCTATCTACTTACGAAGGTCATATATGGATACGTATTTGTTCAAAATCTACCCTGTACCATCGTAAGCACAGATTATTATATTAGAGCCCGTTAGTTTGTGTACCCGCGGTTTCCCTTCCCCTCCCTTACCTAGTAACAAACGGACCGTACAGCGGCCTTGACGCGCGCGCATTGTGTTGTGAATTAAAATAAATTAGAACTGTGCGAAACCTACTGTGAAGCTGGAAAGCTAGCGAAGATATCTTCGAGACCCTGAAGCCCAAGAAATCCGCAGAACCATACAGGTACGTGACTGACGCTTCCACTCATTTTTCACTATATATATACAGAGAGTAAATTCCCAAACATTTTGGTAGCAGAGCGTAGTTTCCTTAACAGTATTAATAAAATCCGAATTATAACACGTATTTTACAGCGTATTTTAGAATATTTACCGTAAAATTGTATGTTTGAAAAAGAAGATATAGTTCAGATAATTAATAAAATTTTTGAGCTGTATTTTTTTGATCACAGGTAAACTATGTACTTAGTAATCTGCATTTTTTTATACCACGTAGGCAAACAAATAAACAAACAACTATCTGCAAAAATAGGTATGTCTAACCTATTTCTGTCGTTAAACAGTTTGCTTTATAAATAAGTTTCGGTTAAAGGGTGAAATATAGTAGTGATATTACACAGCAGTGACGAAATTATTAACGTCACATATATAACACACCTATATACAAACTGGTACGTAAACAAACATACGCAACAATTATATAGATATTATCGCGAAGCTTAAATGTCGTT